TAAGTTTAAGAAAATTTCATCCTGTATCTGCCATGTAGCCTTCTCTTAGATTCTGTAATGAATGGAAAACATCCTTTAGATGAAAACTGAAGGACAAGTTAAACCAGTAAAATATATTTTTTGGTCAATTACAAGACTAACACAAAAATACTCATGATCTTATAATTCTTAAAGATCTCTGCTACAAAGAAAGTCACCAAAAGCAAAAAGTGAACATTTTTGTAAAGAGACAATGTCTCTGGTAGGTGTTACAGGAACGGTACACAAAGTATGACTGACCAGCGAGAATAAGACTCAAACCAGGTGGTTGGAGGAAAGGAAGGTTTATCATGATAGCCAGCCAGCTCCTGGATATCTCCAAAATGGCGCAGGCCCCGAGCTCAGGGTGGTTGAGGTTTTTATACTGAGAAAGGCAGCAGCAAGCAAGCGGGGAGTGCAGAAGCAGACTTGGCGGTTAGCTGTTCAAGGTTACAGTATATCATGTCAGCACAGCTGTGGACAAAGGCCATCCGTAGTTTCTAACGAGATAGCTGGATGCAGGAGCCCCAGCTAAGGGGAAGGGCTTTATTCAGGGCTGCCCCGTTTTTCTTTTAGGCATACCCTTATTCACAGATCTCGCACCTAGAAACCAGAGGAAACCCACCTCTGCACATTGCACTTCAGACACACAGACAGCTGACTGGAATCTTTCCTAGTACCAGTTCTGGATTATAGGCAGAGAGAAGCTAGGGATCCAGTCTGACTCAAACAGCTGCCCTCTTCCTGCATGACAGCCTATTTGCTGAGGGCAGGGGCAGAGCCATGAACTGCAACCATGACTTCCAGAGACCTGGGGACAAGACAGGCATCACAGCTTGGATTCATACCTGCAACCCAGGAACATCGCCTTCACAGTCCTGGAAGCTCCAATATAGAATGTGATACCCCCACTCCCGCCCAGGACCGCTGTGGGAAAAATGCTGGCTCCAACACTGCCCACAGTCTGCTATTTTGGGGTTAGCACCATGGTCCTGGGGAACTCTTGGTCACCTTCCCACAGCACCTGGTGCACAGAGCCATGCTACCACTCAGTGAGGGAGGGAGGATGGATGGATGGATGGATGGATGGATGGATGGATGGATGGATGGATGGATGGATCTTCAAAGGAATGCTAGTTCACGTGGATGTTAAGTCAGCCAGTAGAGGGCGGTGAGAGAACGCTGGAAGGGCAGAGGTGGAAAAGGCCGTGCAGTTCTCGAGGAGGCCGGCAGAGGGCAGGAGAGTGAGCCCCAGAGCTTTCACTTTCCGAGCCCGCAGCCCAGTTCCTCCTGTGCGTGTCCGCAAGCTTGCTCCAAAGGCCACCTGTCCCTCCTCTCAGAAGGCCGAATCTGTGTCTTGAATTGAAATGGGAGGGGCTCCTTTGAGTTACTTTGTTTTTATTTCCTGGATCCTAAGGGCAGAAGTTGCTGCCTGCAATTGCTACTTCTGTAACATTTAGAAATTTGTCTTACTGTTTTTACAACTTGTAATTTAAGAATTATTTTTTTTGGCGGGGAGGGGGACTGGGGATTGAACTCGCACTTGTTGGATAAAGCGCAGGGCCACCTGACCCTCGCCCCAAGTCCTTTTGCTTTTAGCTTGTAAGACTGGTGCTTTCGCCCAGGTGTCCACAGACCTGGATCCTTCTAACTCCACCTCCCTAGTAGCTGGAGTTACAGACATGGGCCACCACACCCAGTTGCAAATTAATACTTATTTATACCAACTATGCTCTATTTAAATTGCTGATATGATTTTTTTATCACCTGTCTGGAATGAAAAATACAATGAGGAAAATATATGACCTTGGAAAGTTGTTTTGTTTTGTTTTTTTCCTCTCAATACTGGGGATTGAAGCTAGTATTGATAGAGCACTTGAGGTACTCAGCTTTTTTTTTTGTCGGTACTGAGAATGGAATATAGGGCCTCACACTTGCTAGGAAAGTTCCCAGCCCTTTTTGGTTTGGTTATTTTTTGAGATAGGGTCTTGCTTTATGCCTAAGTGGACCTGGACTACAATCCTCCTACCTGCACCTCTGGAGTAGCTGGGATCACAGGCTTGAACTGTCATGCCTGGCTTGTTGGTTGAGATAGGGTCTCACTCACTTTTTGCCTGGGCTGGCCTCCAACCTTGATCCTCCTCTGCCTCCTGAGTAGCTGAGATTACACACTGAGCCATCATACCCAACTGTATAATAGAATTAAGACATAAAATATAAGACAAATTGAAATCTCTAGTAAAATAGATTATAATACTAGATCAGAATGGGATATAATAGTCTATAAAAGAATAGAAAGAAGAGTCAAGGAAGGATGGAGGGCTGACAGTGTGGCTCAAGTGGTAGCTACCACTTGAGGATGAAATGTGGGGCTGGAGCTGGAGCTCTAGTGATGGAGTGCTTGACTAGTGTTCATGAAGCCATGGGTTCAATCCGCAGCACCACCAAAAAGCCAAAACAAGAATAGAATGTCAGCTGTGGGACTGCCTAATCTGGCATCTAACTGGAGGACAAATTAATTTTATGCTTCTTTAATTTCATCAGAGTTAATTCTACATGAATATTTCTTTTTAAAAACTGAAAGTGAGGGGTTCTGAAAGTACAGATGAACATAACGGTGGGGTACAAAACCCTTTCTTAGCCTGAAGAAACAACACCAAAAAGAATGAGAGATTAATTAGTATTTAAAACTTCTACATTGAAATAAAATTGAACATTTAAATATATCACATACATCAAAAGATAAACTACAATATGATATACATTAAAGGATAAGTCAATTTATTTGACAAACACTTGAGGGCTTTAAGTGTGAGGCTGTGCTAACATATCCTTAATGTATAAAATCTATATATTAAGCATATCCCAGTAGAGGATTGGGACTGTAGCTCAGTGGTTTTGTGTTTGCCTAGGCATTGGTTTGATCCCCAGCACCAGAAAAAAGAATAATAGAAAAAAAAAAAAAAAAAAGGAAATAACTATAGACAACAAAAGGGAAAACAGAAATAGCCAATAACAATTTTTAAAGCATATTCAGCTTCCCTAGATATTAGATAAATGACATCTATATTTACAATCACAGAATCTCCCCCATTCGGCTGTTGCCTGGAGTGAGAGAAGTATGTAAAGCACTTAGCTCAGTGCCTCGAATTTAAACACTGCAAATGACAACTGTCATGAGTTCAAAGATTCGTATCCATTATTGAGGAGCGTGTTTCCAATTGAATGGGATTGACTTCCACAACAGCTGGACATTATGTCCAAATTTTTGAGAACAGAGTAAGGTAAATGTTTGCTTCTTAAATGGAAGTGCAAAGTGTTACATTCTTTCTGCAGTTTGGAAACATGTATCCAATGTCGATTCATCAAAACCCAAAGTTGGTTCACCAATTCAAAGTCTAGTTTTCCCTAGGAACTGTTCAAACAATGACAAAGGTATGTGCAGAGGAACAGCTACAGATGCAGAAAAATGGAAACAATGGAAATATCCAAGAGTAGAGGACTTTAAATGAGATGGAACGCCCATGCCATGGAATAACATGCGGCTTGCAAAACTGATGAATTTTATTCATACATGCTGACATGTAAGGTATCCATGGTATACTATTTTGTCAACAGAACATTGTTTATCGTGATCTCCAAATTATATTAGAAATATATTCATAGATGTAAAACTGTAAGAATAGACTAAAATATCAATAGTGACTATTTCTGGACTGTTGTATGAGGATTTTTTTTTTGGCATTATGGGATTTGCACTCAGGGCCTTTTGGCTTGCTAGGCAGGCACTGTACCACCTGAGCCACTCTGCCGGCCCTTTTTTGTGTTGTGTATTTGGGGGAGAGGGGAGAGGAGTACTGGAAGTGGTGCGTGGCAGGACGCACGGCAATTTCCCTCTCCGTTTAGAACAGTCCTAAGAATAGAGATGGCTCTAAGGCAGAAAACAACTTAAAGATGGGGGGAGGGGGAGGAGAAAGAAAGAAAGCTCTTTCCATTTTCCATTTCAGAAAAAGATTTGGAGCCTGAGATCTCCAGAAGAGAGAAGACAGCGAGTCTGAGTGTAAGGAAAAGAGAACCCCAAGATTCCTGGAAATGACCTGGCTGCTCTGGACCCTTCTGAGCCCCAAGATTCCCGCTCTCCCCAGCTCTGCGCGGACAGAGCTGCTGGCGGGAAGCGCGAGATTCCGCCCAGGTCATCGCCTTCCCTAGGAATCGCCGAGGTTCTGCGCCCCTCACCGGGCTGCATTTTCCAGGAAGCTCCACGACTCGCAGGGGCAGCGGAAGACTTAAAGTGGGACCCAGAGCTGGAAACCAGTGTCCCTGCCTGAGCGCCTCCTCTCGGTCCTCCACCCCACTCACTGTAGAGGAAAAACCCGGGCAGAAGAGCCCGCCCCAGCGCATCCCTTTCGACGGAGCGGGCGCCCCACCTGTGGCTGGGTCAGGTGCGGGCTCCGCTGGTCCGACCAGCCCTGGCTTCCTGTTTTCGCCACCCAGGAACCCAAGGCGCAAAGAGATGTGAAAGGAAAGCAGAGATCAGGGACAAAGCAAATCAAGACCCAGACTCAGGTCCTTCGTCCCAGGTGAATGCTTATGGGCGCGCATGGCTTCGCTGCCTTCTGATTGGCCAGCCGTAGGAATTCTCCCCGTTCATTGGCTACCTGTAGGCAGTGGGCGAAAGACCGTCTGTGGCGCATGCGCCATGTAGTTTTCCCGGCGAGCCCCGCGCGAACTTCCGGCGTCGGGAGCTGGCGGCGGAACTAGGTGCACCTGAGCTGCGGTGGGCGGTGTGTCCTGGGGGCGGGGCGGGTCGGGCCGCGGGGTTCCGAGGGCGAACGCGGAGCTCCGGGTGGCCGGGGCCTGCGCTCCGTGGCGGAGGCCGAAAGGGGGCATGCCCCGCTGGGAAGTGCAGGTTGCCCTTGCGCTCCTGTGCGCGCTCAGTCCCCGGGCAGACACCCTTACGCGCCCGCTGCCCCTCACCTCGGCGCGGGCGAGGCTGCTGGGAACCGCGTGGGGCTCCTGCAAGTCAGCATCCCCGCCTGCCACGTCCTGCCAAGCGACCCTGGTGAGTCCTGGCCCTCTCTCCGAGGAGACTTCCTCGGTCACTAAAGGATGAGAAAGGCGCGCATCCCTTTCAGGAGTCTTGTGAAGAGCAGAAGAGTAAATAAAGTGCTTAGGGTGTAGTAGAGAAGAATTGGAAACAACCCGAATGCATCACTCGGGTATTAGGAAACTGGAGCTCCTCCGTACAGCGGAATCTCATAGTGCCACTAATGCAAAAATGGAAAAAAAAGCAAAATGCAAAATATTTTGTGCAATTCTTTATGTAAAACACACCAAGCACCTTTTATCATTTGTATGGATAACATTTTCAGGAAAAGGCCTGGGACGACATATGTCAGACTGTCAATGAACTCAAACTCTTATGCATTTCTATATTGTTTAAAATTCCCCATTTCTTATTATGATGTTTGTGTTAATTGTACTTCTGAAACAACAACAAAGCAAAGAAAAATTCAAAACACTTATCAGAACTATATAAAGTACAAATATGTGCCATTCATAAATGGTTGTGGACAATTGGCTTTGGATGGTGTCTTTGAGGCAGATGTGTTTTGGAATTCAGAAGTTTTCAAATATAAGAAAGATATGGTATATCGAGTAATACCTCCAGAGGATTTGGAGCAACACTCAATAATCAAACCAATCATTGAAGCATTAGCATACATACAGAAAACATAACTGTAGCTCAATAAATCTTTACAAACTGGACGAATATGTTAGTATTTTTGCATCAAACCTTTGAACATTTAGATTACTTTAAATGGGGATGTAAAGACGCACATGTCATGCTGGGCACCCATGGCTCGTACCTGTAATCCTAGCTAGTTGGGAGGCTGAGATCAGGAGGCTCTTGTTTCAAGGCCCTCCTGGGCAAATAGTTCGTGAGCCTTATCTCCGAAATAACCAGACCAAAATGAACCAGGGGTGTGGCTCTAGTGGTACAGTATCTGCTTTATAAGCTCAAAGCCCTGAGTTCAAACCCCAGGCTCACAAACAAAAGCTCATGTCAGTAGGTCTGGTAGTGTTGCCAAATTAGTGAGATTAAGTTTTACAGTCAAATGAGTCATGAAAACCCAGGTTTCGGATATCAGACTTGGGGATCAGGTTGTACAGACAGTCACGTAGGTTATGGTGTTATAATAAAGCCTAAACAGGCTTCATGGCAGGAACTGGAGTCCCAGGTGTCCCTTCAGGCTAATGCTTTTTCATGTATTCCAACCCTTCCCAAATCCTACTGTTTTGCTCTTTCCCAGGAGTGCATGTTCTGATGCCAGCCCAGCTGCCACAGGGGCTCCCACTAGGAGACTGAACGGGTCAGCTGTGGGGCCCAGGCTGAGGCCAACCAACCCTTAGCCTTAGGCCAGGGAAATGACCTCCTTCCAGGAGCCCCAGGACCAGGCTCCTGGTCAGGGAGAAGGCCTTCTGATTGTGAAAGTAGAAGACTCCTCCTGGGAGCAGGAGTCTGCCAAGCAGGAGGAGAGCAGGGACTCAGAGGCCTGCCGTCAGCGCTTTCGTCACTTCTGCTATGAGGATGTAGGTGGGCCACACGAGGCTTTCAGCCAGCTCTGGGAGCTGTGCTGTCGCTGGCTGCGACCTGAGCTGCACACCAAGGAGCAGATCCTGGAGCTGCTGGTGCTGGAGCAGTTCCTGACGGTGCTGCCAGGGGAGATACAGGCCCAGGTGCAGGGGCAGCACCCAGGAAGTGGTGAGGAAGCTGTCGCCTTGGTGGAGGACCTGCAGAAGCAGCCAGTGAAAACCTGGCCACAGGTGAGGGGCCCTTCCCACATTCAAGGAGCACCTGGATGGTACCTGGGTTAAAGACAAATGGCCCTGTACATGGAGATGAGTGTCCAGGTGGCTCATAGTGCAGGACGGACACCAAGCTGAGGGAGTATGCACAAAAGCACAATACTTGTTGCCTTGCTGGGCACTGGTGGCTCACGCCTGTAATCCTAGCTACTCAGGAGGGAGAGATCAGGAGGAATGACGTTCTAAGCCAGCAGAGCAAATAGTTTGAGAGACCCTATCTCAAAAATAAGCAACACAAAAAGGGCTGGTAGAGTGCCTTGAGTGGTAGAGGTCCTGGGTTCAAACTCCAGTGCTGACAAAAAAAAAAAAAAAGAAGTCCTAAGTACTTGTGTGGCTTTTTTTGGTTTTTGTTTTGTTTTTTTTTTGGTGGCATCATTGGGTAAAGTGGTTCCACAAAGGAGGTTTTAGTCTCATATAAGTTCTGTAAACATTTATTTATACTCTGCTGTAGGTCAGGCCCTGGGGATACAGTGGTGTGCATGAGACTGGTGGAGGGGTATGAGAAGGTAGAGCATCTAGGGAGGTGCTAGTGAGCAACTGGGGTGTGATATTCTGCCCTTGGCAGGAGGAGACACCCCCCCACACACTTCCTTCCTAAGTGGTTGTGATTCTGGTCTTTGAGGACTGGTTCTTGTCTTCTGATTGATCAGGAATTGTCCTTGAGCATACAGCACTACCTAGGGTCACATTCTCCTTTGGACTTTCCTGAGTTCTATATTGATCTCCATACCCCAGCCTCCTAAGGGATGTGTCCTGTGTTTCCTTCTCAGGGACTAAGCTCTCTTCCCCCATCTGGTCTTGGTGCTGATAGCATGTTGTGGTTTGTGCACAGGATGTGCCCACAGAGGAGGTGGGGCCTGAAGCTGCAGTCCAGGGATCCCAGGTCCAGAGTCCTCCTCTGACGGTGCGGGTATGGAGCCAGCCACCTGTACCCCAGGAGCAGCACAGCCGTGGTGGGTGAGCCTCTTCCTTGCAGGCAGCAGAGTGGCTAGACAGGGGCATGGCCCCTTCCCCACCAATTCCTGTTAAAGGCAGGGTGTTTCTGTTCTTTGAAGTCCAATCATGTGTGCAAGTGTGTGTATATGTGTGTGCGTGCCTTTGTGTGCACATGCATGTATAGGGGAGGCTAGACGTCTCAGTCCCTGGACTCTCTGAGGCGCCTTTCTTTTCCTTCAGCCCAGCTTCCTGCTCATCTTAAAGAGGGAAGTAGCAGAGAGAGGATGGATACCCGCTTTGCCTCTGGGGTCCAGGTGAGTTTGCGGTCTCTCTGTCCTTTATGAGGGATTTGGTGCTGTTGAATATATAATAGGCCTTTTTCATCCAATCCATCCTATCCCCCCCCCCGCCTGGGAGGCCTAAGCAAGGCAGCCTGAGTCAGGTCTTCTGTCCTCATCCCAGGGATCTGTGGCATTTGGTGACATTCCTTTCTATTTCTCCCGGGAAGAATGGGGCTCCCTGGACCCGGCTCAGAGGGATCTCTTCTGGGACATAAAGCGGGAGAACTCCCGGAATGCCACCCTGGGTAAGTGAATCCAGGCTGCAATCTTCCCTCTCATCCTTTTCTTAGCTGGATCCAAAGTGGTCTTTTCCAAGGTTTCTTTGAGAACTTTGTGTGATTCCTTCCTTGTGCTGATGTTCAGTTTTCTGTGCCTCTGTATGTATTATGTGACAAGTGTCCAAGAGGTGCCAGCCCTGTGCTGAGTGCTTGTAAGGGCCTTTTGTCATTTGATTTTCATAAGCTGGTTCACAGGAATATTGTTCCTCATCCACATGGCCGAGGGACTTAATGAAGAGAAGTCAATGACCACTGAAGGCACCGAGGTGGGACTCAGTCAGGGTTGGAGGCCACGGTGGCCTGCCAGCTGCAGAGATGTTGATAAGGAGAGCCCTAGCTTTGGCTGCCCCCCACACCTGCACCCCACCATTTGAAGCCACCCATGTGGTGTGGGGGGTGCCTCTCCAAGCAGGCCTTTTTCTCAGTAGCATTTGGGATAGCTTATTTATCTACCCCACTGTGGGCCGGACTTCCTCCCTGTCCAGTGCTGCTATGTGTTCTTGAGTTTGGAGAGTTGGAGCCTGTGGAGTGAAGTGGCCCCAGCAGCGACGCCATCTTGGTGCCTCAGTGTTTGCCAGTGAGGTTTGAATAATTTACAAAATTAAACTGACTGTTCAGGGGCCTCTGGGAGTGAACCACTGATTCCCCTTGTGGAGAGTAGAGCAAGATTGGCCAGGGAACTGGCCGAGACCCTACCTCACAGGCATCTCTGGACTCCCTGAGGCTTACTCAGAATTGTTTCTCTGCAGGCTTTTTAATCATCATACCATTTTATAGATGAGGAAACTGAGGCTCCACCTGTCTGAGCCAGGTAGTCCTAACCTCAAAGCCAGGGAACTTTCCCCAACGCTCCATTTCTTCCTGGCCTCAGCTCCAGCCCCAAAACCAAGTGGGACTGAAACGACCTTCCTCGCCCTTGCAGGTTTAGGGCTCAAAAGCCAGAGCGAAAGGACCGGGCTAGAGGAGGCGGTGACAACATTGGTTGGCCAGGCGGGCAGCGAAGTGACTGTGTCCTGGAACCATGAAGAGGCAGAAGTCTGGGAGAGCGAGAACCAGCCCGGGGCGGCCCTGAGAGGGCTGGTGGGCGCACGGCGGGGGCGGCCACCCACGCGCAAGCGTCAGTTCCAGGACCTGGCTGCGGAGAAGCCGCACAGCTGCGGACAGTGCGGGAAGCGCTTCCGCTGGGGCTCGGACCTGGCACGGCACCAGCGCACCCACACTGGCGAGAAGCCACACAAGTGCTCCGAATGTGACAAGAGCTTCCGCAGCTCGTCGGACCTGGTGCGCCACCAGGGTGTGCACACTGGCGAGAAGCCCTTCTCCTGCTCCGAGTGCGGCAAGAGCTTCAGCCGCAGCGCCTACCTGGCGGACCACCAGCGCATCCACACCGGCGAGAAGCCCTTCGGCTGCAGTGACTGTGGCAAGAGCTTCTCGCTGCGCTCCTACCTGCTGGACCACCGGCGTGTGCACACCGGCGAGCGGCCGTTTGGCTGTGGTGAGTGCGACAAGAGCTTCAAGCAGCGCGCGCACCTCATCGCCCACCAGAGCCTCCACGCTAAGATGGCCCAGCCTGTGGGCTGACCTGCCAGTGGGGACCCAATGTCACCCAGCGAGGCGGGTGCTCATCCTCTTTCGAGCTCCTGGGGGATTCTCCACCCATCTTGCACCACTGCCTGGCCTACCTGCTGGAGGTACCCCAGGGCACCCCACTCAGAACTGGCCTGCCTGTACCCAGGATCTGTCCTGCCCTCGGGGGAGTGGAAATTCCCCCGCCCCCCACACACCTTACCTCCTCCTTTCTTGCTGCGAGTTTCTCTGCCACCCTAGTTTCTGGAAGCATCAGCACTTTCCTGGGTGGGACTGCAGGTGGTGTGAAGACTCAGGCAGGGCCTAGAGTTTCTTCCCAGCACCCCTCAGTCTTGCCCCACTGGAGGCTCTTTGTTCCTTGCCTTTTCGGGTGAGTTGGTGGCCAGGCCCTCTGCCCTGACAACCTGTGCCTTTCAGTGAGGGAGGAGGACTGGCCTCGGAGCCCCTGCAGAGGGCTGCTGGGCTTTGGGAGGGACAGTGGGGCCACAGCTATGAGAGTCTGGGTCCTTGGTGTGGCCAAAGGGGCTTTCTGCCTTTCCTTGCCCCGCACTTCCAGGCCATGACCGTTCTGTCCTGCCCTTGCCATGGGGAGCTGTTCGCCTTTGCTCGACAGATTGCTGTGCCATGAGCCTCCAAGAGCCACCTACCTTCCAGTGTGCAGTTGGAGGTGGCAGTAATGGCAGGAGGGCAGCCCTAGAGAGCAGCTTCTCCAGAGGTGTGGCCTTTGTTGTACTTGACACTAGCACTCCATAGCACTCTGTTGCTGACTGCGAATACTGAATTCCAGGTTTCTGTCTGCATCGAAGACTTTCATCACCAGGACCTTCAAAAGGGCTCAGCCCAGCAGGCCTCAGAAGGGTTTGAATAAACTTGGAAACTTCCCCCCAGGCTGTCCATTCTTTAGGTGGCTGCTGTGTGGGTGGGGACCTGGAATGCTACCTCCTGGCCTCTTGGCTTGGTCATACTGGGGGCTCAGGGTGTGTGCCGTCATCAGGTGGGGCACGTCCTAGGCTTGGAGGAGGTCTGGGTCCTAAAAGGCAGCCAGGTACCCAGGGGCTCCCATCTGTCAGCCAGCACTAGCCCTGGTCTGGCCTGCCCTCCCTGCCCTGGAAGGAGGTGGGGAGCATAGCAAGACTTGGGATCTTTGCCAGGCCCTCCTCTGCCCCCACTGGTGAAATGAGTAAGGGGCTGAAGAGGGGCTGGCCTGGTCAGGTGTTGGGACACTCCTGCTGCTCAGTGGGACCAAGAGCTTACAGCTGCCCTTGCTCCAGCCTCTCAGAGGAAAGAGCCTGAGTCAAAAGGGGCCCTACCCTCAGTTCCCAGCCAGTCCTTGACATCCAGCCACCCCACCCCCTGCCTGGGGTGTGCACACAGCTGGTGGTGCCTGAGCAGAGCCAGTGGTCACTGGAGTACCACCCCTCCTTCCACCCATGCTGAACCTTCCTGTTCACCTTCTGACAGCCACAGGGGGTCCCCATCTGAGGAGAGGTGGGAGCAGAGGGAGACAAGATGTTCTTGTCCCTTACTCACTGGACTGTGCGTGCCAGTCTACCCTAGGGCCGTTCCTCAGCCAACCCCCAACCTGGCACCATCATCCTGTGGTCACAGAGGTCCGATTTCCCAGATGAAGCACCCAGGGTCACACAGTGGGCGAGGCTGAGTCTAGCTGGCAGTTTCTGCCTCTGAGGGGCTTGGTGCTGTGGTGTACATGCCCGTGTGTGTGTCTGTGTGTGTGTGTGTAAGTGTGGTGGGGGCAGTATAACATTTTTAGTGCTGGTGGCTGTCTCCAGGGGAGACACTCAAGGGTAACAAGATCAGATAGGAGTGTGTGCCAAGAGCTAAGAATAGGATTGGACATGGGTTCCCGACTCAGGTGGGGGCACATCAGTGCCAGCCAGAAAGTCACTGGCTAGAGCCAGAGAAGGGAACCAGGCTGGAGGGAGAGCAGCCTAGTGTTCCAGAGAGGGGCAGAGTCCAGCTCAGGTAATAAACTGAGTCCATAGGAGGCAGCTTGTGGAAAGGGCAAGGCTCAGGTCCCAAGGTGCTAGGAGACACGGCCAGGTGAGCTCTGTTCTTGGAGGAAGCCCCACCTGGCCTTCATGTCCTTCCTGGTGGCTGGAACCCTGCAGGTGGCTGCACAGTTGGCAGATGCTCAGGACAGCCTGGGGAGAAAGGTAGTGGTGGTAGACTCCATCTGGCCCAGCCCATTCCCCCACCTAGTTTAGCTCCAGCCCAGACAAGCTCTGGCCTTACCTCCCCAGGGAAAGTACAGCATTCAGGGTCTAAGGGTAGCCCTGATACTCAGCAGCCCTGGGGCATCTGCTGCTACAGTCGCTGCCCTGGATGGTGTGTTCCAGGCCTTGGGATTTGAAAATTGCAAGAAGAGGGAAGTCTCGGTCCAGGTGAGCCCTCATTCCTCACTCTTACCTCCCAACCCCACCTCAGATGGGGCCTCCTGGACTCAGGCCAGGCCTTGGCTCTTGCCCATAGAGCTTTCATGAAGAGCTGATTTTGTTCCGGGAGCAGCTGGATGCCCATGGGAGCCCTATGGGATGTGCCCTTGTGGCCTTGGTGGCCCCCAGTAGGCAGCTTAGGCAGCCACAGCTACTGATCCAGGAGCTGAGTCACTGCAAGACCCTTCGGGGCTGCCCCAAAGTCTTCCTCCTGCTTTCTAGTGGCTCTGGGGGTGAGTGGCTGGGCAGGGACACCAGTTGTGGGAGGGCAAAGAAGGGACATAGGGCAGGGAGGAGAGCTGGGAGCCTCCCTCCTGGCAACACGCTGCTCCTGCACCACTTTCCCACCAGATGCTCAGGAGCCTGGAGACTTCCTCACTGGCCTGGGGGAAATCTGTGGCCGCTGTCCTCATTGGTCCCTCCTGCAGCTGCTGACAGAGGTGGGGGCCCCAGAGGGAGAGTGGGGATTTGGTCCTGTATCTCCCCTGACTCCAGTGTACCCTTCTGACCTATTTCCAGTTAAATTCATTCACACTGCCCACCCATTTATTCTATAAGCTTTTATCATCTACACACACAGTGTGACCCCCCAGGGCATATCCCCAATCCCAAATGGGATCCCCCCCAGACTCCAGATTGCCTCCCAAATCCCTGCCTTTAACCAAGCTGTACCCTGTCTGTGGCATGCCTTCCCTTGTTGTCCTTGCCAGTCTCACGGTCCCTTCTAGGTTGTTAGTGATGCCCTTCCTTGTGCTTCTCATGTCCACCTTGGTACTTCCAGCCATCCCTTTTGATACCTATGCAAGCACTGACTGCTGTTCTGTTAGACTGTGGGACTCTGGGGCTGGGGCTGGGCCCAGGTCTACTCCCAAGGTCTGAAGTTCTCAAGGGGCAGTTGGGTGGTCGAGGAGAGGGGTGTGGGCCTCAGCTCTGCTCCATGGCTCTTCCAGCCTAGCACCTGATCCTCACTCTGGGAGCCTTCCTCCACAGGTCTGCCCTGCTCCAGGGAGGTCCTGCCTCTGTGCACACTGATCCCTCAGGCCACTGTCCACTTGAGGCCATCCATGTCCAGGGAATTCAATGAGCTTGAGTTTGAGCCAGAGTTTGGGTCTTGCTTAGGTCCCTCCTGCCCTCCCCATCTCCTTCCCCCTTTTCCTCCCTCCCTCTGAAAGGTGACTCCAAAGGGCCAGTAATAGCTGTCAGCCTGCTGAGTCTTTCTCTGGTGCCAGGGGCCTGGTGGCCTGCATGGGTCGCAGCCCCTCTCCCTTCTTCCCAGGGCAGCCCTCAAGTGGCCTTGGGCCCCACCCTTTCAGTTCTTCTGCAGGATAGCTGAAGAGTCTTCTGGGGACACCTTCTGCCCAGTCCTTCGAAGCTCCTTGCGGGGGGCACTGTGCCTGGGAAGTGTGGAGCCCCAGAGGCCCGAGGTGAGGGGGACAGTGTGGGAGTCCAATCACGTGCCCACAGTTGCAGGTGAAACAGGCTGAGGGAGACCAGGCCAGGGAGGCCAGTAGCTGTGAGGCCCTCAGACTACTTTGTGCCTTAACCCTGTCCGCAGCCAGACCCCGGTCCCAGTGCTCAGTATGACCTGTGTGGGGCCAGGGCCGCCCTCTTCCTGGCTGTGACCAGAGACAGGCCTGGGACACAGCATGATGTGGCAGCACTGGGGGACCTGTGCCAGGCCCTGGGCTTCAAAGTCACCCTGAGGATGGACCCTACAGCTCAGGTAAAGGGACGATCAGGACCTCTGGTGATTCTTAGAAAGAAGGGCAGCTCCTTCCCTAGGATCCTGGGCCCTCCCTCCTAGGTCTCTCCTACCTCACAGGCAGGATGTGCACCCAAAAGTCTTGCCTCCTTCCTCCCTGCTGTATGACTGCGGCAGTCATGTCCCTGCCACCAGAAGTCTGGCCTTCAGACCAGAGGCTAAAGAAGCCCTCTCAGCCCTTCAGGGAATAGCCAGGGCCAGGGGATGGCTAGGGCTAGGTGGCTGTGTCCCCATTCCAGGCATTCCAGGAGGAGCTGGCTCAGTTCCAGGAGAGGCTGGACACCCACAGGGTCCCTGTGAGCTGTGCACTTGTGGCCTTGATGGCTCATGGGGGACCACGGGGACAGCTGCTGGGGGCTGATGGGCAAGAGGTACAGCCAGAGGTGCTGGTGCAGGAGCTGAGCTGCTGCCGGGTGCTGAAGGGTCACCCCAAGATCTTCCTGCTTCAGGCCTGCAGAGGGGGTAAGCTGCCCTGCCGACAGCTGACCTCCTCCTGCTCTGACTTTCCTCTGCCAGCCCTCAGCCTCCCACACTTGCTGTCTACCTCCTCCAGAAAGCTGGAGCCCTGGCCCTTCCCTGCCCCCTCTCTCACCAACTAGTCAAGTCCACAGACTTGAGCCCCGGTCATTCAGTGCTCCTAATGTTTCCAGTTTGGCAGGTCTGTGTCAGAGCTCTGGCAGCTGGGTTTTCACCTTGACCTCACTGTTCACATGGGGTGTGGATGCCTGGAATCATTCCCAGGTACCCACTGAGTGAAATATATTCCTTCCTCAGGGAAGAGGGACCCTGGTGTAGGGCCAACAGCTCTTCCCTGGTACTGGCGCTGGCTGCGGGCACCTCCAACCATCCCTACACAGGCAGATGTCCTCCAGGTCTATGTTAACACCCAAGGTGGGTCCTGCCTTCCTTCCAGAATATACGCTTGGCAGAGCTGGTGGTGGGAACCGTCCAGAGAGCATTTCTAGGGCTCTCCACTGGGGTCCTGCTGCCACCTCCAACCTTACCTTACCATGATGAAGGGAGGAAAGACTTTCTAAACCACAATGGCCTTTGGGAAGCTGGGGCTGCTTCCCCTGATTGACAACATTGAGTTGGAAAAGTGAACTAGCTTCTTTGAGGTCACATGGCCGGTAAGCAGCAGGACTGAACTTTGGACTTCTGTCTTCCCTGCCCTGCACTCTTTCCACTGCCCTGTGCTACCAGAGATGGGGAGACCTTGGGGCTGGTGGAGTCCTAAGATGCTGGTAATTGGAGTTGACTTCTTGCAGATAGCCTCTCCCAGGACTCCACTTCAGGGAGGTGTGACCATGCAGACATCCTGACCATCTATGCAGCCACCGAGGGTAATAAGTGGGGATTACTCTGACACAGATTCCCACCCTAAGATCTGGAGTGGCCATAGGGACAGACAAGGCATGAGGTTCAGGCACGGAGGCACCAGCCTTGTTGCAGTTAAGCATCTTCCTTCCATAATTTATGATTTGTATTAGTAGTATTAAGTGCTAACTGTGCCAAGCACATCAGGGGCATTGTTTCCTCCAGGTTCTAAGTTCTAGAAGGGCAGAACAGGTATGTCTGTTGGCCTCAGACCCTGTCCAGTACCAGGCACCTACTAGGTCCACAGTAAATGTTTGTTTAATATTGAATCTATTCATATATTCACACTGCAAACATCAGCATCAACTTCCAGATGCAAGAAGACCCTGCCCTCTCCTCTGTTCTCTAGTTTGATCCCCGGGATCCTCTCTACCTGCTGTCCTCTTCTTCTACCCACAGTAAGCCCCTGGGGGTTCAGAGGCAAAGGGCAGGGGCCTGACTCTGACTCTCTGGCCTTCGTGCCTTGATCTAGGCTGTGTGGCCTATCGGGATGAGAAGGGATCAGACTTCATCCAGACACTGGTGGACGTCGTCAGAGCTAAGCCTGGAGGAGACATTCTGGACCTGCTGACAGAGGTGTGGGAGTGTGGGGACACATGATCAGGAGAGAGGGGCTGGATTGGCCCTTCCTTCTCCCAGCCCTGGTGTTCTGATCATCTCCTTAACCCTACCGGTGAAGGAGAGCTTCCCTGTCCTCACAGTACATGATCAAACACCTAACACCTGGCACTGGTCAAATACGATCAATAGCAGATTTACTCACATGCTAAACTCTGGGGGAGGAGGACAATGAATGCCACATAGGGTCCCTGTGTGTGTGTGGGGGGTGTGCACTGGGAAGCAGTAGGACCTGCATGGACTTGGGGAGGCAAGCTTTGTAAAGACAAGAGGGTGAGGTGCCCCCAGATTCCTGCAGAGAATGGGACTGGCTTATTTGAATAGATTTTCAGGCTGGCAGGGAGGTGAAACCAGTTATGTTGAGGTTGAGGTGGGTGCAGCTGGTTTGGCTGATAGGGGACCAAAAGGCTGGGGGGCTTTTTTTTTTTTGTGGTCAGAGCATGGAACACATGTCAGGTCTTTGGGGTAGTGTGAGGCTTGAAGACGTGAAAGTATCACTTGAAATTTTAGGCCTTACAAAACAGCAGGCAAGGGCTGCAGTGGGTGCCAGGCTGAGCCCCACGTGGTCTAGCGTTCTGGACGCAGACTGAGTGTGGCCCCTCAGGTCAACAGGAGGGTGTGTGAGCTGGACGTGCTGGGACCCGACTGCAATGACCCCCGCAAGGCCTGCCTGGAGATCCGCAGCTCGCTCCGGCGCAGACTCTGCCTGCAGGCCTGAAGACCTTGCTACCCCCAACTCGGCTTCCTCGACAGAGGCCCGGCAGCTTGAGCATGGGTATTTAGATGGCGTGCAATAAATATCTGTTGATCACTGTGCTCCGGTCATTGCCTGCTCGCTCTCAGACATCTGTGAAACAGGTGAGAATGGATGTAAAAAAGCCATGGCCCTTGGTAAGGGTGCAGCTGTGACCCTGGAAACCAGAGGCTGGACGGGGCCTGTGCCGTGAGTGCGGGACTAAGGAGCTCAACATGGGCTGGGCTGGATATTCTGAGAGAGGCCCAGGGGGCAAGGGCTCCTGGGAAGGGGCGGCCCAGCCATGCTCTTGCGCACACGCTCTCCAATCTCCAGGCGCTGGGGCCATGAAATGCTGGAGTCACAGCCTCACCTTCCGGGCGGTCGGTGAGTCAAGTCGTGCGCAGAGACTTGAAGAGACCATTGCAGATCACCAGTGAAGTGATGGAGCGAGCGCCGGGCGCGGGGAGCGGTGAGCCGGCCTGACCGTGCGCAGGCGGCCGGCCAGGGGAGGACGAGGTCTGCGGAAGGAGCTGTGGGGCGGCCGGTGGCTCCCCGAGACCCGAACTCGCAGTCCCAGGTTCGGCCGCTTCCTCCCAGCCCCGCGGAAAAGCGCAGCTGTGGAAGAGGCGGGGTTTCTCTCCATCCTAGGCATGCGCGTCTCGGCACGCCGCGCAGGCGCCCAAGTGAGCTTCTGCCTATAGAGAAAGTAAGAGGGTGGGCAGATGTGGGGCCGCGTGGCCTAATGGATAAGGCGTCTGATTCCGGATCAGAAGATTGGGGGTTCGAGTCCCTTCGTGGTCGCTGCCAAGCTTCTTTTCCAACTCCTTTTGAAAGTTTGCCTACGCTCCCTGCCCACGCCTGGGACGCTCCAGCTGCATGGGTCGCTCGCCCCGGGGACCCTCGGACACCGTCCCTCACCTGCAGTCGCTCAGCTCAGACTCACGGCTGCAGCCTGGTGCCACTCGAGATGCTGGCTCAACAAAGGCGTTCTGCAGAATGAAGCCAAACCCTGCCAGCTATTCCATGAAAACTGACAGGCGCGGATTGGATTGCCTGGGGTGGGGTACTTAGTGACCCCACGGGGACTCAAAGGCCATGTGCACTCAAAAATCTAATAGGCTATATGATATTTGCACATAATTGTGAATGTAATTAATGGCACTGACCACTCTGTGGTACACTTGGAAATGGTCAGAACAGCACATTTATATCTGCGCAGATCTAAAACACGTGAACAATAGTCTAGATTTCTTACGATGAAAATTACTAATGTAAACATCCACATTTAAAGTTTTAAACAGAAGAGTATGTCCGGGATTGAGTTGACATGTCACCTGGAAACAATTTCCTAATTGCTGACCTTGAGTTCTGTCCAAGGGACAATCAAGGTGCAGCGCTGTCCTCCCGGCCCGGCAAGGCGGGGGCGAAGGCGAGTTCGCAAGAGCAGCGCAGGTGACCTGGGCCGTGCGGAGTCCCTTCTCCCTTCACGTTTCTGTGACGTTTCAGTGGTTAAGTAAGGCGCGGTAAATGTATGGAGGGCCAACTTCACGACGCTAAAAACCCAGAGGAGAGGGAAAACAGTGACACGACGGTGATAAGGCGCGAACCCCCAGCCCTGAGACTGGCTGAGCCAACTGTAGTAGATTACTACTTCAAGAGGAACGAATGGGGGCGGGGGCAGGAGGGCGAAATGACCCAAACAATGTATGCACACGTGACTAAATGAATAAAAAAATTTTTTTAAAAGATAAAACCAAAAAAAAAAAAAAAGAGAGAGAGAGAGAGAGAGAACAAAGAAGGAAAGAAGGAAGGAAGGAAGGAAGAGAGGGTGGAGACGAGTAACGTTTGGTCTAGGGACAGTGGGAGAGGAGGACCAGGACAGACCTCCGTGCTCCGCACGCACAGGGGACACTCTTTCCGGAGTGGGAAATGCCGATTGCAGACAGCGTATACCCCGCCCCGATCCCTGCATCACAATCACATTTCCCCTACTACCGAGCCTGATATTAAAGGGCTCATCCAGGAGTTGAATCCGGGATCCTCTGCACCCCACACAAGACGCATGTCCCCTTTATCAACGAGCCGAGATAAAAACCCAGTGCCCCATGTCTTTGAGCGTCGTCTCCACTAGCGTGGTTACTTCTGTATCCCGGGATGTTCGGGGTGACGGTGGCATCCAAGAGGGAGCTGGGACCGAGAACCGACATGAAGGGACGCGAGAAGGGTCGGGGTCGCGCGGGCAAAACTGCAGACTCCCGCAGGAGCCTCGCGGAGGCGGCAGACGGACTGGTTCAAGACCCGTACACGCGCCTCCTCGTTAGCCCCGGTGGCCTAATGGATAAGGCATTGGCCTCCTAAGCCAGGGATTGTGGGTTCGAGTCCCACCCGGGGTAAGAGGGTTGCGTTTTAGGCCTCCTTGGAGAAAGCGCAATGCAGTTAGTATTGCTAACCCTACGGCGCCCCCCAGCGGCGAAGCATCGATTAAGGCAACGCGGGGTTTTTGAAGAAGCCGAAAGGCAACGTTAAAACGTTATTTTCAGATAAGGAGTGCATGTTTTCAGCTTTCACAAAAGTCTGCTTCTGTCCTTTACACTGAACCATTCATTCTACTTGATACAAACAAACACCCATTGTTCACTTCTTAGGCATGCACTTGTACTGTGGTTCCATATGGTTTACAAAGTCTCTCTCTTTCCTAAACACACAATTATTCGGAAATTAAATTACAGAACAACTGGTTTGCTTTAAAAAATCATAGGTTGGGTGTGGGGAGATAGCCAGCTGGTACAGGGCTCATCCAGGTGCAGGGCCATGGGTTCCATCTCCACCATCACACAATAATATAAGCAAACAAACAAACAATTTTTTAAAAAATCATGGGCTGGGTGAAGATGTAAACAAAGTTCGCCCGTGTGTTGATAAGGTGTGTTCAGAGGAACTCTGCTCTGATATGTGTTTGAAATAGTCTGTAATAATGTTTTCCTTTTTAAATCCATTCAATACTTGACTTCATCCTTGAGATAAAAATTCCTGAAACCAGAAGCTTCTCATACCGTGTGCTGCAGGGGGCCAGAGCTGGAGCTCTGTCATATCACACGGACAGGTAAAAGAACAGCTCCTTTCTTCAGCTTTCTTTCTTTTCCTTGTTTTTTTTCTGAACTCATGGCCTCATGCTGGCTAGGCAGGTGCTGTACCACTTCAGCCATTCTGCCAGGTCTCACAGTTCCTTTTTTAAAGACAGTCTCCCACAGTGTAGCCCAGGCCAGCTTCAAACTCACTATTCTCAGGTTGGGGGTGCCGCTCAAGCCATGGAGCAAACCCAAGTACTGCAGACAAAACAAAACAAAAGCTTACTATTGTACCCCAACTTCCCAGAGTGCTGAGATTACAGTTATAAGCCACCAGGCCTACCCAGAGTAGGGGGAAAGATCAAACTGGGTTACATTGTATGACTATTGGCAAATGTCACAACAAAACCCCCTGTACAACTATTATGTAGTAATAAAAATGATTTTTTTAAAAAACAAAAATAAGTGCAGTTGCTGGGAGTGTGGCTCCAGTGATAGGGTGCCTGCCTAGCAAGCAGACCCTGAGTTCAAATTCCAGTACCACCAGCACCACCACCAAACAAAATAACTGGGACTCTCCTGTCCCCCCCCCCCACTGCAGCCTTGATCCTTGCACTTCTCCACTAAAGTCGGGGGCCTCCTGTGCATGGCATTACCTTTTACCATCATACACAGCCTGCAGACCTACTTAAGGATGCTGGTGCTTTTTTCTGACCAATTTTTTTCTGGATGTCCTTCAGATCTTCCTACTGGGCTGTTGGAAGTACACAGGCTCACTCCAACCTTTCTCTCTCTCTCTCTCTCTCTCTTCCTTCCTTCCTTCCTTTCTATTCTTTCTTTCCTTCTTTCCCTTCCTTTCTTTCTTTCTGTGGTGCTGCAGGGCCTGTGCAGGCTAGGCAGGCACTCTACCACTTAGCTACAAACCCAGCTCACTCCAATATTTATCTCACTAAGTTTGTGGATTCCTTTCTGTACCTGAGACCAGAGACATTCTGTTACTTCAATCTCATTAACATAGGCCACTAATGAATTCAATTTTGGGCCAAGCAAGAAGAGACCTGGTAGGGCCAAGTTCAGTGGCAGAGAGTGACTAAGCACAGGCTCTTTGGGAAGTGCACCGTGATCAGTAAATTCACCAGACACAAAATCACATCCTGGTGTTCTCACCTTAACCTGTGAACCATTGCCATGAATCCTGGCATAAGTGAGCAGAACTTGTGTGTGTGTGAATAAACTGCTTCTCCAACTTCAGCTTTGTATCTGCTCCCTACAGCTGCCTGAGAGCTCACCCTCCTATGGGTCAAATGGTAACCAGGGTGGTTGGTGTGGTCTTTGAGAACTGGCATCTCCTCCAAGATGGCTGCTCCAGGTGAGCTGATCTCAGGTTACTCACCACAAGGATGCTGGTTTCCTCGGGTGGCAGGTGATAGTCAGAGTGGGTGACTGACTTTCAAGTTTCACCTTGCATCCACCCTGAGGCGTCCAAACATTTGGCCCCACTCCTTCCCAGTTAAGACCACAAAAGATTTCCTAAGGCTGCAATTTCAATTTACATTGTCATTCTGCAACATGCAGGATTGGATTCTGCATTTGATTTTTAGCAAGAGCAGCTTAGGGTGGCCACAAAATATCCTTGGGTCTCTGGACATGATTTTCTAGAGCTGAGACTCAATCTCCTAAGTAGAAAATGCTTCTTGATGTGACCTGATCAGCCATTGATTGCCTGGATCACAGGAATTTCCAGGAAGTTCCCTGAAGTGGAGTCTCCCCCCATCCCCCAATTTCTGGGACTATGCCTCAGACAAGGTCCTGAATGCTCTGCTACTGTACTTTCACGTAAATTCCAATGAGACAAGAACAAGAAGCTCTGGAGGGATTTTGTGTCCCACTGCTTGGTGGATCTTGTATTGTCAATGTCACCTGAGCCAGCAACAAACTCTCACCTGGAGGAGGTCTGAAATGCGGGTTCACCGATCCCTGCTTGGCTGGAAATCACACCCACAAAACTGCACGCCCGACGCTACAGCCACTAAGACTGAGCTAGGACACAAGGAGGGTCTCGCCGTGGGACAGGCCAGGGGACCTTCTCCTTTCCCAGGATTCCAGCTCGTGCAGTCGCAGGTTTGGGAAGAAACGAAGCCTGACCCCAGCTTTTATTTTTTTTTTTAAGGAAAAGGACAGAGTTTCACTAAGCAGAGAGGAAAGGACAGAGCGGGGTCTCAGAAAGCCTGGGCCGAGCTCTGACTTGTGTATCTGGGCCGAGCTCACCTGCGCCCGGCCCAGGCCAGAGAGGACTTGGTGGAGGACAGGAGCCGCGGGGTCTGTGCGGGACCCCGACTGTTCCTGGGGTGCTAGGTTCTCAGGGCCTGCAGGTGGGAGTCGACAGTGCCCTTCTTACCCTCGGGGTCCCGGACCTGGGTCCCACTTGGGGTGAAGTTTCTGGGCTGGGGAATGAGATCCCCACGCTCACGCAAGGCTTCACAGAGTCCGCTCCGGAGAGAGGCGGCCCCTTGTCCCTGGGCCCGGGGCCGGGACATTCTCTCGGGCATGTCCCCGCGGCGCTGGCTGGCTGGCACCAACACGGAAGCTGCCAGCGCAAACTCCCGCAGCTGTCGCCGGCAGGGCGGAGCCTCGGCGCCGGCCTCCAAGGAGCGGCGTCAGCGCGTCCCAGTGTGCCGGCTCGTTGGTCTAGGGGTATGATTCTCGCTTTGGGTGCGAGAGGTCCCGGGTTCAAATCCCGGACGAGCCCGCTTTTTTTTTTTTTTCTTTTTTTGACAACTTCGTGTTTTCAGAGCCGGGCCCGGCCGCATGTTCCCTCCTCGGTTCTGCCAGCTCCCTGTTGCCCGGTCGTATTCAAGGCCCCCCCTGACCTGAGGCTTGAACCTCAGAGTTTGGGTGGGGCTGGAGGAACGGAGCCCAGAGAAAAGGCGTGTGACTCTGTTCGAGGGACCCCGGAGGAAGGTACCCACCTCCGCCACACCTGTCTGCGGAATGTCCGTGAGGTGTGCCAGGCCATCGCGGGGCCGGAGGTGGCACTTGCTCTGGATGTGCAATTTTCCCTTGGATGTCCTAAGTCCACATCCCGGCTGAGCCCACGTTTTCAGATGTCCTTTTGCATCTCGAGGGGCGCCAGACGCGCCCTCCCCTGGCCCAGAGGAGGAAACCGTGGCGGCCCGAGGACGGGAGGCTCTGCACCCTGCGCTGGGGCTGCCGAGGCCAGCGGCGCCATGCGAGCGCAGAGGACCGAGCTCAGGCGGCGGCCTCTTCCACCACCTGCTACCATTTTAGTAAGATTTATTATTATTATTCGGGTGTGGTGAAAAGGTACTTTGTGGCTCACAGTTTCCAAGAGGAGGCGGCAGGGTACCATGGGTGACCATATCTGAACGTGTGGCAGAGGCAGGAAGCCTGGATCGTGGTTGTCATGGAAGGAACAGCTCAGGCCCAGGGTTGGCTACTTTGAATAATGTCAGCGGGGTCTGGGCGTTCGGTCTGTCCCTAGCTGTCGGGTACCTGGCCCTGGGTGACTAGGACAGGAGCTACTGGGCCAGAGTGTGAGTAAGGAGGTGGTCGGGGTGTGGGCTCTGGAATGCCCAATGGCAGAGGAGCCTTGCTGTCTCTAGGCTGCCCCTCAAAGA